AAAGTTTTTGCAAATTACAAAGATAATATTTTCTTTCTCATATGCTGTGTTTTGAGTTAATTTAAGAAGTTTTATGATAAATCTTTTACATATTTTTCAATTTTATAATTTTTTCCAAATCGATGGCTTGAAAAATTAAAGATATAAGATACTAAAAATTATATATAAATTTGTTTGTATTGTTTTCAAGCTAATACAAAAATAGATTCTCATAGTTGTAAATTATTGCAATTTATTTGTAAGAGTATTATAAGTCATTATTCATAATTTTAAATAATTTAACATTTCTTGTTCAAATCAATGACACAAAAATATTAAAGAAATTTTTTGATCTTGTTATCTATTAAAGAATTTTAAAGTTTCATTAAAGAACAATATCGATCAATTAAGAGATAAATTTAGTCTGTTATGATAATTAAGCACAAGAAAAATACAAATTTGGATTGAAATTGTATCCTTTCTCGAAAATGAGATTTTTAATATTATATTTTGAAATGGATTTCAAAAGTTACGAAAAAGTTTAAAGTAGAGGAACCAAGCAAAATTTTTTAAATTTTAAAGGCGCCGAATGAAATAGCAAGAAATCTCCCCTGAAATTTTTGACCCGCTTTAATAGTAAACTCTGCTAAGAAGAAGCGAAGAACTGAAGAAGTTCACTAATTCCTTTAGGGTACTTTCAACCACTCATTGTAGTTTTTATACAATTTAGTGTAAATGCAAACAATTTAGGTTTCATTGTGAATTTTGTTTGTATTCAAGTTTAGTGGGAACTACATCAAATATAGTAAGAATTACACCAATCGAACAAAATGGTGCAAAACTTATCTAAACCCTGTCCCATTCCTTTTCTATAAATACTCATTCCAGATTCATAAGTTTGTACATTCTCCTCACATACCATTCATAAATGACAAAAATCACAGAGAATTAAATAGGAAAGATAAATACCTTATAGCTAAACTCTCAAAAATATTTGGATGCTTATTTAATCCAAGTCCACGGTAGATATGCATAATGGATGCTTTCAGTTTATATGTTGCGGTTTACAAATCAAAGCTGGTGCTTCTAAGCCTTTTATATATGATGCTGAAATCTTCATAGAGTTGCAGCATGAAGCATCTTAAACTATAAGATTATTTAACCTTTTCCTTGTTTATTTTCAATTGAAGCTGCAGTAAGTGCCAGTTGAAGAATTGAAGGAATGATTCAAACGAAAAAAGATTTTATTTCAACTAGGAGAGCTGCAACAATGAACACACAACAACAAACAATTCCAAATGAATTAGATTATGCATCAAACCCATCTTTAAATTGACTTAAGCTGCACAACTAAAACCATTTTAAGAGTTGGTCAACCGAAAACAAATTAAGGTAGAATGTCAATGGGAATAGTGAAAATTATAAAGAAAAATATGAAGAGAAACTAAGAAGAAAATATCCAAGAAAGTAAGGGAGATCAGGATTACATTCTTTTTTTTTTTTTTTCTTTTCTTCTATGAGCTGGATCGAAAAAGTAGTCGTTTCCCTTCTTAAGTTTTAATGATCAGCATCAACAATTTACGTCCCAAATACTAATACACCATAAAGATGTTGTCACATTGGCCGACCAAGATTTATCAATTTGTTCTCAACAATTCATCTGATATTTCCATCAAATAATCTCATTATCTATCCATGATAGTAAAAGATTAATCTCCACTTATTAATGCATAGGAGATCACGATACAAACTATCCTCATATTCCACAAAAAAGACCAAAAAAAAAAAGGGAAGAATTACCCATAACTCCTATCATGAAGATGAAACGCCTAAATGTAATGGCATCTCGCATTCTTTAGAAGAGGCAACCGATGGATCTTGGTGGCTTTCTTGACCATTGCTGTTTTCGCTATCCATTACAACCACACCACCAAATTGCACATGTTTTCCTTCGCGTGGAGAATTCACAGCAGCAGCAGAAGCAGCAGATGGCTGATCGTTAATGGATTCATTTCTTGCCATTGCGTTGTTTGAAATCGTGGCGTTCCTCTTCCTTGACAATCTTCGATCATTAAGACCATTATGACGACAACAAGCTTTTATGCACGTATATATATATGTAAAAACCCAAAAAATCCATGGGGCACCTATCAAAATGAATGCTGCAATCGGAAACCATGGTTCAGAGACTGAAGGCATGAAAACATACATAGCCAGGAGGACTCCACCGGTCGTTACGCATACACAAAATATGGAAGAGATCAAAGGAACCCTACAATCTCCTTCCCTTGATTCCTCCATTCTTGTTTAATTTTTTGCACAAGGGCCTGTCACCCTCTATAGATGTTGTAGATCCTCTATTCCTTTTTTTTTCCCTTTTGGGATTTTCTTTCTCTGTCTTTAGGTTAAATTTTTTTTCTCTTTTTTCTTTTTTTTTTTGTTGGGAAGAAGCTGATGTTCAAGAATGTTTCATTTGTCTTCCAGATCTAGGGTTGAGTTGCAAGAAAATTATGTAATGATGAAATTTTTCAAGAAGGAAAACAAGGGGAGAATAATGCGGGAAGCTTTTTTATGAGAATATTGATCAAGGGAGTTGTATATGGTGATGCATTTTGACGCAAAAATCAGTTTTGCTAGTAGAAAACTAATTCTACTTATTTAGTTTTTGCCAAGAAAGAAAAATAGCTAGTTTCAAGAATTGAACATTATCGTAAGACGTTTAAGGAAAAAAAAAAAAAAAACTCTTATTCCATGAGCTGAATGAGAGATAAACCGTAGGGAAGGGAAACAAAAGTAGCTTAATCTTTTCCTAATTAAAATTTGTGGATTACTAAAAGAACTAGGCCATGAGAATTATATCAAGGTAAGGGACAAAAAAATTTTTACCGTGGACCAACCTGAAATAAGAGTAAATTGACATCATGAATGACAAAATTTTGTTATATCACATAACGGCCCGAGCTTTAAACTACTCTAAAAGACGGAAATGGAAAACTAATTCATTACAGTCAATGGATAATCACAAGTGACAATTATCTCAGGTGTAGATGAATTAGGCAACGGCAACTAAATCGAGCATCTTGTCTTGAAGACAATCTTAGAATCAACCAAATAAAATACTATCAGCATTTTAAATTCACTATAAAAACAATTGTAAGTCTCTTCAAAGCAGTAATTATTATTGAAGTACGATCATGAGATTATTAGCAAAAAGAAGTATTCCACGTCCGAGTTTGCTTTCTAAAATTTGTTATTTCCAAACAGTGAAGGTTTTCGAGTGAAGGGAATTAGGAGTGAAAGAAGGTTATGGGATAGGAAATTAATCAAACTATTCAACTCGAACAATTTGACTCATTCACATCCAAATCATAAATGTTTGGAATTCATATTATGCAAGGAGACATTGTTTTTGCTAATTCAAATTGAATGATGATATAAAATCAGTCTATTTCCGGCATCATATCCATAGTTAGCGCATTCGTCATAGTTAGCAGCTCCAACTCCATATCAAGGTCATGATTGATATTGTCACTAGCATCAATATCGTCACTATCATCAATATTGATGTCACCAATAAGAAAACCTTTAGACTTGTTTTCCAGGAACTTGTTTAGAAATATAGTAACTTGATAAAAGGCTCGACACGAACTCAACATTTACCAAGTTTAAGTCGAGTTCGAGTTATAGGATAAGGTAATCGATTCAAATTCCAGTAGAAAAAATCAAAACTCGAGTACTCATCAAACTTTATGAAGTAGTGTATTTATCTATAAAAATTATGAAATTTAATAAAAAAATCGAACTTGAAAACTTAATTAAACTTGATTAAACTCAATTTGATTGAATTTGAACCTGAGCTTGAGTAAGGTAAAATGAACTCGAACTATACTTCAAAGAATTTGACGAGCTCGAGTTCAACCTCAAACTCAGCATTTTTACTTGAGTAGAGGTTGAGTAGTGCACTACTACTCGAGCTCTATTTGAACTCAACTTGACTTGATAGCAGTTCTATTTTGAAATCAATTGTGTAGATATCAAAACCTTGGAGAGAAAACGTAAAGCCATCACCACCATGATTCAAGATATTGTCCCACAAATAAAACTTCAATTTCCAATCAATCTTCCTACAAAAAGAAAATTACCTCGAAGGTTACTTTTCAGTTTTGCCCCCGACTTCATCAATGATGTATAAATTTTTAAAGTTCTAGTTAAAGACTCATTTCAATCATGACTTAAAATAATATACCTTTTAAACTCAATGCCATTCACAATTACGGCAATTAGCAAATCTAATTAGGGATTCTAAATTACAGCAATTAGCATAACTTTTTAGTGGTAGATGAATAAATTTTTTGGAGAAACTTCAATGCAGATCAAAAGAATGTATAATTTTGAGCAAGAAATCAAGTTAAGCTACATTGAAATAAGTGTGTAACAAATCAAAATTTTATGCTAGTGTAAGTAAGAAATAGATGTGAACAGAAGAAACACTACTTTTAATTAATAAATATTAAAAATGTTCCTTACTCCTTAGTTAAAAAAACTATAAATCTACAAGGCATACTGCATAACCAACTCCCAATAGAGGAGTTGGCCGTCACATTAATAGTGGAGTGGAAGGTCAGAGATTCAAACCTTGCCTCCTATCAATGTGCCTCTATATGGGAATTGTTCTAAATTCATACGGGTGAGTGGTGCACCCATCTGATTTGATAGTGGTTCAATTCCCGTCAGATTCTCTCGAGGGTTCCATCCCTCCTTAAGAGTAGAAGTATGTTGTGTTAGACTAGATGTGCCGTTACGAAAAAAAATACAAGGCATACAGCATACTCTACTTTGAAAACATCAAAACGAATTCTTCTCCCTTTCCATATTTGAAAAGGACATAAAACTAATATTTTCTTCTTTGGGTCAGCAAAAACACCAATTTCTAAACGAAAGGGAAAATAAGAAATTAAACTAATCCGGAGGGCACAAAACTGCAAATATTCAGCATTCCAAGTTTCCAACACCACCACTTTCCATAAAACTACACAGTTTTCCCCAGCCAGTGCTTCAAATCAGAGTGAGAAAACCAACCTCATAAACAAGAGCTAGAACATGAGTTTCCTTAAACAACACAAAAGTTGCATAGTTTTAACCATATGGGCTCTTGTTTTTCTGCTTTCCTCCATTGATGTAGCAGCTAAATCTCGTCAGCCAATCTCTGTAAGTTTACCCTTTTATTTTATTTTTTGCTGTCAGGTGTGATCTTGACATAATTTTTAAGGTTTTATGATCTTTTTCCTCTTATTCATTTATTTTTGAGAGGAATCCGAGATTCGAGAGAGAAGAAACCAGTGCTATGCAGACATCGAAAGGTACTTTCAGTTTAAAGAAAGTTTTTTTTTTCTTTTTTCAAATTGTGTCTATTTCTCGAGACTAACTCAATTAGATACGCGTTTAAGATGGAAAGTTAGGGGTTTTTGACGGGTTTTGTGTATAATTATCATTATTTGGCTTAAAAGGGGGTGATAGTCAAGAAGAAAGGAATCATTCTGTTTTATCTTTAATTTATTGTGTTTTACTTAGTCTTGTGGTGTTTTGGTATGTCTAATTTTTTGTTGAATGGTGCAATTTTTGGTGAATAGTGGATTATGGGGTCAGCAATGTAAATCTTCCAAGATAGCAAAGGAGAATTGTGCCTTGAATTGCCTCTCACCAACCTGTTATCAGCTCGTCTATGAGAGTGATCCGGTAAGGATCAAAGTCGGTCTGGAAAATTTTTGTATGGATTTTTATGTAAAAAATTACGATTTGACTGATTTTATTGCAAAAAGAGTTTGTTTTGATACTACATTGTTTGAGATGATTCAGGATTAAATGGACTGGTATGAACTTTGATAGTAGCATCTAGTTGATTTTGCTTTTTGGAAAAGGAAAAGGAAAATGAATGTTAATAATGGTACTTGTGGTCTGCTTGTTCAATTTTTGTGGTGGCTGATGATTAATCTGAATTTTCTTCTTTTTTTTGGTTTTCTTGAATTAGTTGGAAGAAGGAGAAAAAGATTACATCAGGAGTCAAGAGTACAAGTACTGCATGCACAAGTAAGACAGATGCCTTGTATATCTGGAGAATTATATGGAATATCATGTTTTAATGTTTCTTTTGCCATGTGCCTTGCTTAACTGCATTAGCATCTACGATGATAATTAATCCAGAATGATTGATAGAATATGTTGCCTGTGGGTTCTTTAAATGTGTTTTGCATCCATTACGACATTTTATGATGCTCATTTCACTTTCAAAACTCAGATTGAATCAATCGTTGCCTTTTCTATTTGTGGAAAAGATGTGAAACATAAATAATTGCATCACTACAGCTCCACAAGCTTACTGTTTGGTGAGAAAAGCCAAATAATTGCCTGTTGACTCAAGGGTGGAAGAGTAAGGTAAGAGAAACAATAATAGTATGAGAAAATTCTAGCAGCTACATTAACTAGTATCAGGGCCTCTTCTTCCAAAGTCTTGGTAGAATGAAATGCATGATTAGGCGAGGAGAGATTAGTTGAAAATTGAGTAGTTTGTAGAGATTGATTCCAGTAAAATCCGCATGTCATGAAATATTGGAATTCAACTGTTACTCAACCTTAAATTTGAAGAGACTCTGTGTCATGCTGAAACGATTTATTCATCAGAAAGTCGAATGGTTATGATAACATAACCAACAGGCTTATTGATAACATAAATGAAAGTGCTTTACTGCTCAAGAAGCAAAACGATCTCAACAGTGTTTTGGATTACAAGAGGAAGGCAGTAGATGAAATCTGTGGCAGTTGATATTTGGGAATTATATTTTGGAGAATTTTTATCTTAATACTGGGAGGATTCCCTAAACCCGCTGCCCGTTGTGAATCAGTAAGGTCCAGTGAGGAGTAGTTCAGAAGAAAACTGTGTTGGCCAGCTCAAGTCCATGTCCTCCATTGCATTACCCTTTAGGGACATCCTGTCAAAGGCACAATTCTCATTTAGTAACAAAATGAGTTTTCAGTGACTAGCCAGGTTATACCAGGAGAATTCTATACCGCAACTTCAGGAGGCATTTGGCAAGGCCCATGAGGCCTGAAGCCGGTGGGATTCAGTGGCTTAGATTAGACGATCATTTTTTTGGGACAGTGATAATGGTGGAGGGACCAATATTAATCTAAATTAAACTGTGCCCATTCACTAGGAAGATATCCCCAAATACTAAACCAGTTTGCACCCTCAATCAAGATAGCTTTACAATCATCAGTAATTAGAATATAAGCTGCATGTCTCTGTGTTCTGCAACAGCTGTAATGATTTCTTTTTTATCTCAAGTTACACATCTCTACATTGTTTACTTGTCTATAATTAACTATGATAATCACTTGATCCCTAATCATCTGTCACTCTTTCATCCTTCCTGTTTTATCTTTTGTTTCTTTTCAATGTTGCTGCTGCTTATCAGAAGTTTGTTTCTTTTTTGGCAGAGTATCTTTAGGAGAGAGCCTGGATGATATTAGAGGGGCCTTTGATTAGCATGCACGGGGATGGAAGTTTTTAAAATTCTACTGTTCTATATGTATCTCAGCATGGCCAAACAAGATCAGATGGATGTCGTGCATTGGGGTGGGAAGTGGTGTGGGTTGTTGGGGGGGGGGGGGGTCGGGGTTTGGAAGCATATTAGGTGGGAAAGGAATTAGGAGGTCTCTTTGTATTGCTCATTGACGTTCACTCTCCAGACTGGAATTGGCTCAGTTCATCGTTTTCAGTTTCACAAGTGTAAAGCTACCTAAACCAAATGATGCTTGTTGTTTGGATCATGTACATAGTCCTTTTTGGTTATTATGGAAATCTTAATACCAGCGCAATCATATTGGTATATTTGTACCTGTGCCGTAAGAAATTGGCTCTCTGGATATTGATTAGTGCTGGATTGGCCGTTTATTGCTGATTTGCTGGCTTTCTGACCAAAAATTTCCACAAGAAGATGATTTGATGAATGACTGGGAAATTCTTAAAAAAGCATAATATAAAGCTAGTACCTGGCAAACTAGTTCCATCCATTCTTATTGCAGTTTATCGAATTTACAATACAGGAACTTATTAGACTGTGGTTAATTAACAACTTTTTAAAGCAGGTCTAAGCGAGCTCGTTTTGGCGTGGTAGAGGAAGCAATTGAACGTGAAATTTCTCCCAGAACGCCATAGTTGAATAAGGCCAACTAACTAAATTGTAGGACTGAAAAGGCATCAATTGGATGGTAGGAGTTGATAGTGGCATTTCATATACGGAGTGACGCAAATAAACTAGAAATACTAAGGACTGAAACAAGTGAACTAGGAAAAACAGTGAAGAAATGAGTGGGAATTCAACAACAAACAAAGACATGCAATGGTAACAGTGCAGAAAGCTCAAGAGGAGTGGATGGAATACAGTCAAGCATACAAAGATTCGGAGAAGATGAGCACAGAAGAAACAGCAGCTAACCAAACTCAAGAGGACAGAAGTGGAGGATGCAGAGTTGATTAAAGTGAGTATTGCTACTCACAGGAGACCGAACACTGATGAGGTTGGCATAGGTATGACTGCTATGATCGAAGGGGATATCATAGTGGTAGCTTGGGCAATGCATGAAAGAAGCTACAACTGTCAAACAACTGGATGAAGTTGAGGCAATTAAGCTAGTCATAAGCAAACTGGCAATGAAGAGGTGGAGGAAAATCATAACCCAGAGCTGCAATAAGCAATTACTCCAGCAGATCCAATCTCGTAGTGTGACAAATATCAAAATGCACACTCTAGTTGAGGATATACTGAGCTTAAGAGCTTTGTTTTACATGTGCTCCTTTTGCCTTATGACTAAGAATGATAACCATGTCAGTAATAGAATTAATGACTGTGTTTTAGCCATTTTACATGATGGGGAAAGGATTAATCCTCTATGCTATTGATGCACTTTTTTGTATAGAAATGAACAGCCTTTGCTCCAAAGTGTAAAGGTTATCATGATTAATACAAGTTTGTTATTGTTTCGGGGAAAAAAAAAAACAAATGAACTAGAATTGTATGGAGTTTAAAGAAAAAAAGTGAAGAAAAGGGGATAGATACGTAAATAAAAATTTGTGTTGTAGACATATAATGATAAAATTAACATTTAAAAAGTTGTATAAAAACTCAGCCAGCTTTCAGTCCTTTTTGACGGACTAGGCAGAAAACTTTTTTAAACTGTAGCCTCAGTTTGTTTTACTTTTCATGGCGAAAAAGCTCCTAAATAAAAGTTAAAATTAATATTTCTCTTCCTTTCCTTTCTTTTTCACCTGAATCTTCAACTCCCAAACGAGAAGTCTTAGATAACTAATCAAGGAAGGATAGAATGCAAGAGTAAGAAAGTTGAGGGACAAAATTATGCTTTAGTCCTTTTGTATTCGACTTGTTTCACTTTCTCTTGATTTTTATCAATTGCACCAATTCAGTCCCTTTATTATTCATTAGCCAATAACTTATCTCACTCAACACAAAATTTTCACAAAAACAATGGGAAGATAAACACTAATTAAGACTACCATAATATGGATAACTTTGGAGTTTTCACTGCATCATGGACTTAGAAAAATCAAAAAAATATCAGTTTTAGACATATTACAAAGAAAGAAAGTTAGTGTGCCGCATGCACAATTATCGTATTATATAATTTAAATTTATTGCCCACAATCTTTATGTAGTATTAAAATTCTTTGTGTTTGCACATAATGCATTCGAACATGTATATTCCAAAACATGTATAGTAGACAAAATATGCAATAGAGCCTTACAAGAGGTGTGTCAATGTTACGAGGAAAGAAAAAGAAGGAAGAAAAGAAGAAAGGACCTATTCTAAAATTCAGAAAAGCGGGGCGCTATTAGCCTCTAAAGACAGCACGAGTTTCCGTAAAATCGCACCGATAGTAAGTCAGTGTGCAACTTGTATGGCCTCAGTACCTTCATCGTCTGCACCAAAGCCCTCCAACACAGCCGCCGCAGAATCTCACCGGGACATTCTCAAACAGGCAAGTCTTTCAATTCTAGGTTGTGGGTTTGTTCATAAATGTCAGAAATTCAAGAAATATTAATGGTTTTTTTGTCGTTGTTGTTGTTGTTGTTGAATAATACAGATAAGGAGTCACGAAATTGCCATAGCTGAGCTCAACAGTCTATCCTCTTCAAGGGTATGCATGTGATTAAAGAAAGTAGGAAAGAAATATGTTATTTCCTCTTTTTTTTTTGGTTAAAAATCATGTTATAAGATGGCATTTGGGAGTATAGGAGTATATAAATTCTTGGTCCCTGAAGATGGAGCAAGTAATTGACATGTATCAGGCTGTCCAAAAGAGAAAATAAGAGAAAATGTATCTGTCGTTTGAAATTTGTTACTTACAGTTATTGAGAAGATTTAGTTTAGTGGGCTGGAAGTTTTATGTGGTTTCCTTAAGATATGTCAGGAGATGGGACTGACTGGTTGTGACTACTGAAAATCTTGTCTTTTTTCCCCTCCTTGACTCTTGAGATCATTAGGACAAGGGGTCCAGTCATAGAGAAAGAACAAACACTAGTGTAGATTTAACCCTTAACCTGTATATTGAAATAGATTTAAGTCTAATTGCCGATAAGGATCTGTTGAAGGATTTCTGCAGAAGGGAAGAGCATAGACAAGCTTGGTAGGTTTTGGAGCAAAAACTAAGAAAATAAATAAATAAAAGAGTGAGAAAAATGTTCAACTGTTCTCTTTGGTGAGTTTGTAATATACAATTGAGTTACCAAGCAGAGAAATGAGAAGCCAATGTTTGATTATGGGTTCATGCAGTCCACTACTGTTGAGTGGAGAAAAGGTGGGAAGTTTCTATAAGGGGAAAAAATTTTGTGCATCTGTTCTGTTAATGAAGTGGAAACTTTCGTGTCCCATAGTTTTTCACTTTTTTTAAGTTTGTTATAGTTTTTATAGTTCGTTTGTCTTATGTATTGTGTTACATTGACTAAAGATGTAGTATAAGTAGGGGGTAAAACCATTTTTTGTCTTGAAACTTAGGATTTTGTGCTTTAGTTTGTGCTCCATGGTGCATATAGGTTGTTTGGTAATACAAAGTAGACATTTAGATGAGAATTTAAAGGTGCATATCCTTTAAGCTTTTTAGTTACAGAAGATGAGTACCTTTTCAACATTTCTCATTCGTTTATTTCTCCAAGCCTTGAGACATAAAGATCTAGATAAAGCGTGTTTCTTCTTGAATAATGGAGGTCCAATTAGGGGTAGGGGTGGATGGACATAGCTGAACCAAGTTCAATATATCTGACTCTCAAGCTTGGTTTGATTTCTTAAGGGTTGAGTTTGGTCTGATTAGAATCTGAGCTAAGTTGGTGAGTTTCATTAAATTAGGCACAATTCTGATACTATCCCTTTCCAGAGGATGGGGGAGCTAAATAACATTTGTCTAGTGAGTATTAAATTCATTTTGTTAACCATGGTCAATTCCTATTCAAGTTTAGCACTGTCTGGAAAGAACTTGACTGCCCTATTGTGTCTAGTTTGCAACAATTAACTGCTCCAACTGCAGATTATTATGATTCGAATATGGTGAAGTTGCCTTAAGCCTTTAACCCATTTAAGTATTTATATTGCTTGATTCTCAGGGTGTCTACCAGAGAAACGGGAACATTCTTTTTCGTACAACTATCCAGAAAGCAATTGCTTTAGAACAGAGTGAGAGATCTTCCACTGAATTCCATGGTTGCCTCCTATTTTCTGTGTTTATTCTAGTACTGTTTTTTTCTTATTGCTGTTGTTTGATTATTGGACAGAACAATTGGATATTGCCAAAGTCAAGGTGCAGCAGCTGAGTGATTAAAATCAAGCTCCAAAACCAAGCTCATTGTTTACTCTTTAAACTCTATTGAGATGGCACTAAGAGGTGTCTGGCAGTTAAATAAGCTGATTGTTAGCTATTGTGATTGGGGAGGGAGTAGCCGAGGTGTTAGAGCATTTATGGAATCTCATTTGCCAGCTTTTAAAGAGATCTCCCCCCAGCTGGAGGTTGTATCGGAGCTTAATCGTGGTCAGCATCCATATTTGAAGGGACTGTATAGGAACAAAAATGAGCGGGTTGTATCTGTTAAAAATATGACTCCCGAGGACATACTACTATGTGCAACCAGGCTAAGAAATTCACTTGGAAGAAAGGTGGTCAAATTGAAAACTCGGCACGTTACCAAGCACCCTAGTGTTCAGGGTACCTGGACAACAGAATTGAAGATGTGAGCTAACAAAGAGAGTTACTGATATCTAATCTATTCCGGGGGTTTGGAACTCACCTAGTTTGTTCTTCCAAGTCTTTTGTCAATAAATTCATATGTTTTGGTGATGCAAATACAGTTCCTCGAGTTTTATTAGGTTACTTTTGTGTTCGAATTGTGGGGAGGGTTGTTTCATGTTCCTTCATTACTGAAGTAAGCTGGCCCATACAATTGATGACTCTGCTTTTGATACGCGACTATGCTATTGGTTCCTAATGCATTGTTTTGTCAAACCCAATATGTAAAACCATATAAATAGCTGTCGGACTTAGAATGTTAATGTTCCTGATAAACTGACAATAAGCTCGACTTCTTCTTGGCAGACAGTTTAACCATGCATCTATATGTACCAATACCTCCCACAAAAATGGGCAAGATTAATTATGGCATGAAAGCGATCTTGATGATTGTATCTTGCCACCAAGAAAGAAACAAAACAAGGACAAGTGGCCCATAATTTACCTTTACATGCCAAAAGTAATTCAGTATATATATATATATATATATATGAAGTTTGTTGCCAGACATTCCAACCATAGCACGTATTGTCAACAAACATAAGAAGCTTGAAAACTATAATCGCAGAAGTTCTAGCTTAGGTATTCAGTGCTACTTGGTATCTTTTTATTTACAAGAGGACTTAAGGATCTAATCCTTCAGAGCTGCTGCCTTCTGGAACAGAACAATTGCAAGAGTCACCAGAGATGCATAAACAGAATTAGGCAATTTCTGCACTACCTTTCCAATGCCAGGAACGCCTTCCGTTGTCCTCTTTGTCACCAGAGCAACAGTTGGTGCCACAGCCAAAGTGATGATCAATCCCTGACTAACCGTGATGAATGTATCTTTTGTTAGCTGTTGAATGAACTTCACAAACTCTTCACGGTTCAATTCACCGTCAAGGTTGATATCGCACTCCTGAACAACATAACCAATTCAGAATTCCACAGAGAGCAACTCTCACACAGTCAGCTGAATCAGAATGCTTACTATCCTTCTTATTGCTTAAGAGCTATGGCCTTTAATCATATTGCAAAAAAGTAGAAAGCTCACGGGTTAAATGTTTACTCTAGCATAAAACTGGTGGCCAAGATGAAGGTATCCTGTATACAATGTAGTTATGACAAGTACATGGATTAAATTCAGAAAAAGGTCTGAAAACAGTTATTGGATACTGTCACATTAGATCATCATTTGTTCTGTTAAGAAACTTCCAGATTGCGTTGGTGGCAGTTACATGATAAGATTTGCAGCCAGATTTATACTATTGTCAGGATAAGCTCAACAAATTTACTGCACAATCAATAAAATGTCAATACTGCCTCAGGAAGAGTGAATATGTAATAAAGTAATAAACTACTCAAATGGCAGATGTTATCTTAAGTCATTAACAAGCACTTTGGTTGCTATGTACTTCAGGTAACGATGTAGGAGAACAATATGTATTACACACCTGCATCAAGGCTCTGACTTGCTCCTTTGAGGGGGGATCAAAATGAGGCCCAGGCAAGCGCTTATTAATATCACTAACAATCAAAGAGTTGAACTGTGATAAGAATACTTCTACAAATACCATAAGTGGTCAGAATGCTAAGAGTTTGCTATATGTCTAGGAGTAATATTTTACTTGAACACCAAGAGCACAGCAATATACAGATCTTCAAATGTCAAATTAGCCCTTCCTTGTTCATTCTTGAAACGATCAAAGACCTTGTCTGTTATTTTTCTGATTTGCCTTTGTCTCCATTCCTTACCTGCATAAGGTGGTGAAAATGTGAATCTCATACAAACGCTGGCATGCTCTGGTAACTAGACAAGGAAGCTGGACCAAATGACCACAAGTTCACCAGGCACAATAAATAGTTAGTTATCTCAATGCACTTTGATGATTTTCTCTGATGTAGGCTAAAGATAATGATACTAAACCCAGCCAGAAAAAGAAAGAAAGACCATCCCAATTACTTGACCATGTAGTGAACCTCACTGATTTCTACAGTGCAACAAGATTCTTTAAACAGACTGCTTTGAGTTATAAATCCATTTCCACCTTGTTACAACTGCTAACAGTTAATTTTAACCTTAAAAATTTTTCAAAATACGTACCACTGTTTTGTCTTGGTGAACGGTTGCTTCCAAAATACACAATGTTTTACTAACTAGAACTATAGCACAACACTTCTAGGAGGATGTATCCATGTATGTTTATGGAAGAGTGTATCCCCAGTCCAAAAGAGGCACAAAACTAAATGGTGCTCCAAATGCTTCATTCAGGGTTTCCAATTTCCTCCAAAACTCTCGTGTTCATCTCCATTAATGTGAACACAAGATGGCCAGATGCTGTTGACTAATTCAAGTTACATTAGCAAGACATGATCCTTAGATGAACCAAACTATTTAACTTAGAACATTATTGCAAGACTCATACGTAAGGCAACCAGACCAAGTTGTTTTCCCCTACCAAGTCAAGAATGAATTTGCAGAAACTGCAACAAAGGTTTTCATATGTTTCATCAAATCAGCACATGAAAAAGCAAAGAAATTACAATATTTTGACACCAAGTCAAACAATGAAAATGGCAGCATAGACAACATATCCAACCAAAAGTCAAAACATCCCAATTCAAAAGAAAACAAGCTTGCTGAATCTCTGGAAGAAAAAAAAGAACTCAAGAAACCGATACACTGATTTTGGAATTAAAACATGGGACCATTTTCATAAGGGTTAGAGAATGACATCTTTATGAATGATCTCCATCAGAACCTAACATCAATACAAGGTGAGAAACCTATGCAAAATCCCATATTCTGATAGGCAGAAAATCATTTAATAAATTGTCAAAACGTTATACAAATGCATATAATTCAGCAGCATGACATTAATTTGTTGAGATGACAAAAAACAGTGAAATTGAAGCAAAATTTTGGGATTTTAAATTGCACCAGCAAATGAGAAAATTAAATTGATTATACAGAGGCAATGGTATGTTCATTCGTCTTAGAATAAAATCACATACAGATCTCAAAATCCAAATGAACAAGCTGAAATAATTCAACTTATCTTCTGCTATAAGCCCTCATTATTCTCCATACATATCAAGTGCTCCAACTTCACAACCAATTCAATTAGACCAAGGTACTACTAGAAACCTTTTTCCCCCCTCAGAATTCCTTTTCAAAAGGAAAAGAAATAACAAATTAACCATCAACCACGCCGCGGCCTCCCCCGCCCCAAAAAAAAAAAAAAAAACCCCACGTCCACCAAGCCACCAAACCCAGAAAAATAAAGAAACGCAAAAGAAAGTTCCTATTTCTGATACGTACAACCTAAAGACCATTAGGCCGTGAAAAGTTGCAACTCTTATTTAAATGAACAAGACAATAAAGATAAGCATCTAATTTTTCAAGAATAGGATGTCAGTTAAATAATATGATAGCTTCCAAAAGTTTGACTTTTAACACAGCACTCGGAAACAATTCACTAATCCAGTAACATCCCAGAAAAAATTATTCATGGAGCGATGAAAATAATCCATTTATCAGCACTTACATCAATTAAATAACCAAACAAATGCATGCCCACTTGGATTAATAGACAAAAAGAACAAAATCAGTTCAATCGCTATAACTAAAACACAAAGAATTCAAGAAAACAGCGTGTCATGTGAGTTTGTATTTGCATGTTATTATACAACGCTAAAAAAAAAAGCTGAAATTCTTAATCTTACCTTGGACTTTGTCAAGAATTTGTCCCATGGCTTTGGAGCAGATGACAGGAGGAAGAGAAATGGGGCAGGGACGGTTTTCGTTGCAGGAAGAAGGTTTTTGCTTTCTGGAGATGAAGAGTAGCGTGTGCTAAGGACCTACTACAGAACATCTAGTGGTCTGCTGGTTCCCGTGAGATATTTTAATATTTGAGCTTTGGAGTTTGGAAGGTTGGTGGTCAATCATTCAATCAGGAGTTAAGATAATTACTACTATTATATAATAGTATAGTATTGATGTATTGACACACATATAAAATTTATATTTTAAATTTAAATTTAAATTAATTATGATAATAATATATATTCAAATTAGTTATCATATATATATATATACATACTGTTTAATCTTTAATCAATCAATCGCCACAACTAGGATGGCAAACAAATCAAATTGGGTCGAGTTTTGGTCTAATTGAATCGAGTTTCGATTCAATTTTACCAAATTTGAACTTGACTCGAGTTTGATGTCAAATTCGAGTCAAGTTGAGTTCAAACTTGAATCTGCTGGAGCTTAAATAATAAAAAATAATTATTTTATTTTTTAAATTAATAAAATAATTATTATTTTCTTAACAAATATTTAAATATTAGGAATACATATGTAATTTTACAAATGAAATAAAAAATAACATATCGAGCGCTCGCAAGTTAACAAGTTGAGTATTTTTGTACTTGAATTTGAATTCGATATTGACCAAGTTCGAGTCAAATTTTGATCGAACTGACTTGCGAGAAATCGTGAATGACTTGATTCGTTTATAGTCCTAACCACAACACGATGCCTTCCATTTTGCATTGAAAAACAACAAAATAGAGTCACTATATTGACTTTGGACTTTCTTTCTCATCATTATCAATATTTCGGTAAATTTTAGATGATTGAGAGGGGCCGGGGGAAGAAGAAGGCGAATTCCATAGTTTGCAAAAGCATAAGGGGCCAAATTGTCACATGACATAAGCTCCAGGATCATTCTTTAAATATATATATATTACGTAATTGCTTTCATATCATATTCAATCTCAGGGGAAATAAAAAAGGGTAAACAACAAAAAAATTCCTGTGTATAGCTATCTTACAAAAAAGCTCCCTATGATTTAAAATCATACGTATTAGTATCTCATGGTTTGCAAGAATTTGAATAATAATGAAAATCGTTAAAACAAACGGTTTTAAGTGACATGAAAGAAATACCCTAATAATATAAGCAAAAAATAGTCTAAAACAAACGATTTTGGATTCATTAGTTTCATTCACTAATAATATAAGCAAAAAAACTATTTTTTAGAAGAATCATGTGCATTTCGAGCACGTGTACATCACACCCGTTAAATTTAATAATTTCTTTTGATTTTTTACTTTATTTTAAACTATGAGGTACTACGATGTGTATGATTTGAAACCATTGGGATGGCTTTTTCGTTATTTACCCAGTAAAAAAGGAAACAAATACA